GCTACATCTGTGCAGAGGTTCTAGGTTATCTCCACGAATAGTAAAGATGGTGTTTAAGGGATGCTTTAAGAGTTTGTCCAGGATGTTGGGTTGGTCTTGGCACAGCATATTTTGAACATTGTATCTTTGAATACGAGCCAGAATGTGTCACAGCACATACTCCAAACTTTAAGGACAGAACCAGCAGTTCTATATTATCTTTAACCACTCTTTTATTCTTCTTCCTTCATTTTATTTGCCTTCAATCTCTTTTCTTCCCTCTTCTGTGTCCCTGGACCTAGTTATGCCCATCTGGAGTCATGCTGCTAGGACGTGGGCATGGTCTGAGTGTTTCCTAAGAGTCTAAGTATTCAGAAACTTGGTCAACAAAAGGATAGCAGTAAGAGATGCAATGACACCTTTAAGAGGTAGGTCCTGCAGAAGGTCTTGGGTCAGGCTTTCAACAGGGACTAAAGCAATTCTTATATAACCATTTGGTGGTTCCATATAGAGGATGTTTAATAAGCAAGTAACAAGACCACCTCCTTTTACTGTCTGCTTCCTGGCTTGAGAGGGGAGCCTTCCTTTATAGATATTCTATTCACCATCTTTAATGAGACCGGCACCTCCACCATGCCATTTGGATTCTCAGTCTTCAAAAATATAAGTAAATATTTTTCTTATAAAGTCATCCCATCTCAGTTACCTAACTGTTGTGAAAATCCTGGGAAGAAAAGAAGACACAAAACAATGAGCATATAAACATAGAACTGTTAATTCTTTTACTTTAAGACCTGACAAATATCCTGTGTATGTCATGGCCAGTATCAACCAGAAGTGTAATAGTTGACTTTGAGATTTTAACAGCAGCATTTGAAAGGATGAGAAAATGCTCTGTGTGTAAGTGACAGGTACAGAGAATAATGGGAGTTGTGGATCAGTGGTTTCCCTTTTCATCTGATAATAACAGATGGTCAGCTACTCACTGTTTAAGTTTCTCAAGAGAAGGAGCATCTCATGTGGCTCAGCATTTATGTTGATAAGCGTTTTCTCTGGTGCATCAGGCTGAATGCATCTTGAAGGTGCTTTTGTCTATTGCAGATTCTGCTTACTTCCTACACAACAAAAGCTGTTCAGGTGGCATAGGAGAAGCACTGGAGCTCTCCTCTGTGCCAGCAGGTGCAGCTGGTCTCTTCCTTCTTCATGTCAGGAAGGGCTTTGATCTCTTTCTCGACAATGAGACCTAAATGGAAGTTAGCTTAGGAAACTTCTGGAATGGATTTCGCTCCCGAAAAGACAGAGCGAACTAAATCTTTCTCTTGCCTTAAACGTAGCTGTTTAGGGAACGATGGGTGGGTATCATAATACCCTGACAGTATGCCAGCAAAGAGCAGAGAGAGGTCTTGGGTCTCTGATGACTGATAGCTTACTTTAAGAATCTCAGAATCAACAAAGGATGGGCTTCTTGTTCTGTGAGTAACTGAAGCAGCATGCTGCTTACCGCTGTGTCGGTAAGAGCTTTCTTTATGACATGGGACTCAATGCACCTGGATTACTTGCTGGTCTGGTCCTTTTTCTTTCTGCTCCATTGTAACTACTGTGCCAGCCAGAGTATATGGCTGTGATCCTCAAACCACCGCTGTCTTAATGCAGCTTGATGAGGACCCGAAACTTGTTATTTTAATATTTTTCTCTTAGTTGAACACATAACCTTTAATCAAATATTAAGCAAATTATCCCATGGCCTTGCCAATTTACATTTGTTGTGTTTATCATGGAAAATAAATAGACATATCCATTGGAAGCAGTCATTGGATTAACTTAGAAGTGAAAGTAGTTACAATTTCCTTACTGTTCTTTGTCTCTAATTAATCAATGTGACCTGGTGACACAAAAGAAAAATTAGCTAAATAAAAGTTGGGATCTTTTTACCTGCTAAGCTCTGTTTAATGATCTCTACTTTATAAATAAGTGTAACTCCCACAGATGCCCCTATTTGAAACAGGCATTTCATGAACAAATTAGCTATTCTTCCTGTTTGTTTTGATCAAATGTCAAATTTCCAAAACATAAAATTTGTTCATAGAATCATTATAATTTCCCAATACTTTCTCAATATCGTGGCTAAACATCAGAAGAAAAATAAAGCAAGTTCTTAAGTAATCAAAATAAGATTTTTTAAATCAAACACTTGAACATGTCTAAAATGAATACAGACCCTGTACATAAATGATTAACTTTCATTGCATTATTCTTGAAATAATGGCTTCAGACATAGCATCATGGACCATTATCTAAGGCTCACATCATGAAAACTGCATCATGCTGGTAATTAAGGATTAGCCTGGCAGCATCTCACATCTGTTTGAAAAGCTGTTGATGGATGAACAATGGCTGTGAAGGACCCAGCATCTTGCTTAGCAGGGTTTGCTGGGCTTGCAATTATAGGTCATTGTCAGAAGTACTACCTGCAAACAAAAGGATCAATCATTCATCCATTGTCCCTTTCTCATGAAGCTAGCTTTTCAGAACGCCATAGCCACTAGTAACCTGGCAGTGGAACATCCTCCACTTCCTTCTCCATTTCAGTCACTTTCTCTGTGGATTACAGACAGTTACTACCATCACTTGAATTTATAGCTAGCTCTTTAAAGCCCATCTATCAACTGAATACTTTCCTAGAATCACAAATAAAACACGGAGATGATGAGAGGCTCTTCTCCAATTAATTTATACTCTAACCGTTTCCTGGGGCTATCATAACAAATTACCACACCTGGATGGCTTAAAAATAGTACACTTCTACAGGTGATAATTCCTACAATGGATATCTGCACAGCTGTGATCCCTTGGAAACCTGCAAGTCAGGATTTTTCTCTCCCCCTTTTACTCAGGACGGTAATTTTTAGACTGTGGTGTTCCACACAACTGTTACCACCAGGACTGGGGTAGTCTCCCCATGTGACTGTTCTCAAAACAATTTCTTCTTCAGAGTACACCACCCTGTTGGATTAAGGACCATGGAAATGACTTCACCTGAACTTGATTATACCGCAGACCTATCACCCAGTTTTTTTGTCTAATGGTTTTTAGCTGAGGTCAACTTTGATCCAAAAAATTTATTACTGTAGTATAAATAGGAATAATTTACTTACATACATACATATGAACAAAAGAAAGAGTGTATATGCATAAGAAAGTAAAAACAAAGTACCAGCCATTCACACAGCATTTATTGTAATCCCGAGGAACTCTATTAAAGAGTTCAGTGTTGTGATAGACCTTCTACACCTGGAGAACCACCTGCCAAGTTGCACTATAGGGCAAATGACAAGAACATGGGGAATGGTGGTTGGCCAAAGCCAGTCTGCTTCTGGTGACCTCTCAATGGTCTACAGTTAGCACAGCTTTTGTGGTCTAGCTCTAGCACCTCTGTCTCTAGGGTCCACTGCTGCTGCTTTTGGTTTGTGCAACACTCACTCTTTTTTTCCCTCTCATCCCAATCCTTACTTCCAGGCTTTACATGTTGGCAGCAGCATACTCTTCCTATTTCCAGAATCTAATTGAGATGGGGCCTCATGGCCTACTCTCTTTCTTTTTCTCTATGCAGATGTTCTGTTTTTTTTTTTTTTTTCCCAGCTGATGCCACTTGAAATGGCAGTCACATGCTTCACTTGCTTCTCAAGGCTTATACCTGTCACAACATGGGATAGATAAGAAACTGGTTTTGTTTTATTTTGTTTGTTTGTTTTTCTGTACTTCAAGAAGAATGTATCTCATTGTCCCTCAGTACTTAGTAACTCTTGAAATTCTTAAAGGTGCCTCTGACATATTTATTAGGTGTGGTTGGATGCAGTAAAAAGGTCATAGCCAGTTTTCAAGATGAGAAGCAGAAATGAGCTGCCTAGGGAAAAATGTAAAGCTTGGAGTCCTTATTGTGTCACAGTTTGATAAGACACACCCTCACAGGCCCATGTGGTGAAGGCCTGGTCCTCAGCTGGCAAAGATCTCCTCCTTTAAAGTATTTTAAAAATAGTTACAACAAGCAAGGAAGCAAAGCTGATCAAGGGGCATAAAATGGCTCATAATCCTGTGTGCCCAAAGTGCATAGAGGTCTAAGCTGAACACTTCTCACATTAATGAATAAACCCCATCTAGGTCTTTTGCAAAATTCAAATTACTCAACACTGACTTCTCCCTGCCATAGGTGTTCACAGGCATACACTCTGCCTTTCATATATATTCCTTTAAATTAAGTGAAACACCGTTGGTTCCATTGAAGATCTCTTGACAGCTTCAGCAATGAACAGTAAATAATCTTGGGATCGCGGGCATTAGTACATTTGACCTTGTCAGACTGAATGAGTTCCAGAACATTCTGGAACTGATGTTTATGCTTCCAGGGATGATGCTCAGTGTCCTAGCTCCTGGGGCGTCAGCAGCTGCAAGGATAACGGAGAAATTTGAGACTGTGTCTTTAAGGCGGGAGTCAAGGATGCGAGCTGGTGTTTCTATTGTGGATGCAGCCCAGCTACGGTCTGGAGTCGAATTAGCAGAGAGCTTAGCAGGGGTTTGTTTAGCTTAGCAACCACCTGTGTCGCCCCAGGGGCCAGCCAGAGAATCTCCAGCGAGCTCAGCCTGTAATCTGTGCCATCAAACACTAGTCCTTTTTTGAGCTCTGTGCCTCCGGTCCCTTGGAGGTCTTATTGCACTGTGGGACAGGAGGGATTGCCCTTTCCAGAGGGTGACCTGCATCCCCCGGTCGCCTTTCATAACTTCAGCAATCTGTGGGTCCACTGCAGAGCGTCTGTCGGACCCATAAGGAGCTAACCGCTGAAACAACAGCTTCCAGGGGTGGTGAAAGACCTAGAAGCCTCCAGGGCGCCCTGTGCAAGGGCCCAAGGACCCCCAGCTCGTCTCCAGGGCCGCCTGGTCGATCGCTTCAGGGGGGCGGTGGATGGAGCCTAGCAGCCCAGCCCCTGACGTCCTTGACCTCCCGGTGGCGACAGTGGCAGTAGCCTCTCCAGGACCAAGGCATGAAGGTCGCTGTGTTGGACCTGGGGTCTCTCTTTGCCAAGATCTTCAAGACCTCGACAGCGTCCCCCTCGGTCCCCAGCCAACCTGGAGGCACAACGACCACAGGGTCAGTGGGCTCCGGCGCCAACGTGTCGCCTAGCGAGGCTGCAACCCTGACTCTGCTCCCGACGCTGCCTCCAGACACCACAGCCTCCCGGGAGCCCTCTACCTCTCTGCTCACTGCGTTCCCTGCCTTGCACTCCAGGAGCTCTGGAGCCACCCATCCGGTGGAAACATCAGGGTGCTCCGGATCTCTGCCCAGCAGCCCGGGAACATCCAGAGTGCTGCCCTTCGCCCCTTACGTCGGCTCTGCGGGCTCAGTAGCATCAGTGGCTTTGCCCAGCCCACGGGCTGTCTGGGCGACCCTGCCGTCTGTCCCCGTCCCCGTGGGCAGCAATAGCAGCACAGCCACAGAACCCCAGAACCCCCGCCAGCTGCCAGGCCTGGGAGAACGAGAGCCCAGTGCATGGATGGCCCCAGCACCTGTTCCCAAAACTCTGTTTTTCGCCCTGCCGGATATTGGTGAGGAATGGGTGTCAGACAGCGACTCCCAGGAAGACCCAGAAGGGTGAGTCAATTTGACCCCTCTCCTCCGCCTGCCTGCCACATATCTCTTCCCAGGTTCACTTCGGCCTACTCCCAGGCCTTCTGGGCTGCGAGAAACTTTTCCTTAACATTCTCAGAGTCAACTTCTTGTTAACCTGGGGAGGTGAAGAGGGTAGGAACAGGTCTGCATGCTAGGTCTCTGCTGCCGGAAGCATTGAGACTTAGATGGTGAGCCTGGTTTTCACAGGGCTTGCTTCAAGCACCTTTCTCTGAGACATAATATACCAGGGATGCAGGTAACCCACGTCAGCAAGGGTTAAAAAAGGGCTGAAACAGCACTTCCATAGTTTCTGAGGATCAGCCAGCGTTTCTGATCCCAAGTGGAATGGCTCTCCTTTACGTGTTAATTTACATATTTAATACCTCATCTACTACAAAGCGGACCTGTGAAGCTTAGGATTATGGCTCCCAGAGGTCTTCAGTTCTGTTTCAGGGTGCTGTGTGGTGTTACTACAGAAACATGGGCTGACCACGGGATAGGGAATTGGAGGGCATCACGCGCGCGCGCGCACACACACACCCCTTTTGAAAAAAGCACAATAAACACATTTTCCTTACAAAAATATTCAATATTCTAAAATGACAGTGAACTCTCTTTTTAATAAGAGCATATTGCTAGCTGTTTCTAAGAATGTACTCTAGCCTTTTTGAATGCTTACAGAAGAAAGGCAAAAAATGATCAAAGGCAGATCCCAGCAGTCCGTTTGCAAACAGGTTTCTGCATGAAGTGTTGGGTTTGGGATAGCTCAGACATTTGCCACCTTCACCCAAAAGAGTCTTGACTGAAGAGGTTGGCTTGAAGACTAATTCTAACTCATTCATGGTATTAATGGGTACAGTTTTGCAAAGGTGTCTGGCATCCTTATCAATGCTTAAGCAGGGAGTTGTATAATAGTAAGTCAAATTAAGCCATTTGTTTGAAATATTATGTTACGAAATTTGTTTGTCAACCAGTTACCACCTCCTAAGGAAATTCAATTGCACTTGAAAAGCTGCTCTAATTACCTAAGGAATTAGGCCTTTGTTATTAGCAACTGGCCCTTAACATTTATACAATTAATGTTTTATGAGCAAACAGATCTTCAAAGTGACCTTAAACTCCAGGCTCGGCAGGCACTTTTAGCAAATAGACAACAGAACGGGCAGAACAGCCAGGAAAGGAAATATCATTAGTGTCGATTCTTGCACGTAGTAGCTCGTGTTTGTATTTTCCAAAACCATTACAATAATTACTTTTTAGATAACTGTGAATTTGATATGATTTGCAGAAGCTAGTCTATGTTAGCAAGTCCACCCAATTTTACTGAAAGTGAAGAAACTGAGTTTCAGTGCATGAAGAAATAAAATGCATCAAAGGTTGTGTTGTTTTTAACCAATCTTCCTGATGCTGCACGCACCTACACTTTGTAGCTGAAGACAAAGGTATGGGCACAGGCCCAGAGTGGTCAAGCCCAAGGGTATCATTTTCTTCGTAGGTTCAAAATTGCTTCTTTCTTTCTATCACACCCAATTCACTTCTCAGTAAGAGGTAGAGACGAAGAGGAACGGGCTAAAGTATTATACAATTTTCCTTTATGCTATTTGAAAAATGGACTAAATAAACATCATCAGAAAATGAAATTAAATTATCTCCTTGACAGCTCACCTTTCAGTTTGTAGATAGCTGTTCTTGTTGGCCTCTTGGTTAATATTAAAACTCAATACCTAATTTTCAAGAGCCAATGGACATGGGAAGAGAGACATGGTTAGTATGAAAATAGAAAGGGGAAAAGAGTGACTAGAGAGAATGTGAATACATAGAAAACAAATGGAAACACATCTTGAGAGACACAGATACTATTTTTTAAACCAAAGCAATAAGTTATAGAAGAAAATGAAACCACAGTTTATATAGATAGGAGAACTAGAGAAAAATATACGGAGAGAGAGAGAGAGAGAGAGAGAGAGAGAGAGAGTAATGTACAGAGAGAAAGAAATGAGAGAGGCACACATAGATAGGTAGGTAAATGACAGATGAATAATAGACAGGTAGGTAGATACATAAAAAGATGATAGATAGATAGATAGATAGATAGATAGATAGATAGATAGATAGATAATTAGGTAAGTAGATAGGTAGATAGGGCTACGCTTGAGTCAAGGTGGAGAAAATGAGTTTGTTTGTTTGTTTGTTTGTTTTGTCTTGTTGTCTGGTACACCTAGATACGTGCAACAATTTCGATGTTTGCCTTCTGTTATTATTTATTAAAAAGCATGAGGCTGGTTAACTGATATTCTCTGCAAGAAGTTTATTAGGAGGGAGGAGGAAGGGGGAACAGGACATGGTGGGAAGAGAGAAAGGGAAAGGGAAAGGGGGGCACCCCAAGAGAGAGAGGGAGAGAGAGAGAGAGAGAGAGAAAGAGAGTGTAAGAGTGTAGGAGAGAGAAAGAGAGAGAGCATAAGAGAACGACCATGTGTTGGGGTTAGCCCTTTAAGGGGCAAGGTAACCACGCCTTCCAGGTATGGCCACCTGGCTGGTGACATATGATATCATAGGATGCTGGGTAACACAGGAGCAGGTTCTGTTCCAAAATACTAACACCTTCACCTCTCACTTTCTCTCTACACTGCACTCCATTTGCCCATTTTCCACTAGCCCTTCACTGCCTCATTCCGTCCTTCTGGTTCCCTGTTTGTCGACTTGTTCACCAAATGAAAGAATTCCTAGCAATTGATGTAACAGATATACTAATATAAAACACCAAGAAGAAAAGGTATGTTTTATCTTAGGATCAACCTTGAAAATTTTAGGGAAAATACAGAATGCTAGTCACCGCCCACCCTTTGTACAGCAATTGTCCATTCTCACCCAACAATATTGTGACTCAGTTTCAGTTTATGTTCTTCATTAGACTGTACCATGATGCTTATGGCAACACATGCCCACAAAGGTATTTGGTGAAAATATACAAAATAAATGAAAAAAAAAAGTTCTCTTCCTCATGTGGTTCACTTTCATGAGTTCTTAATTTTAAAAACCAAGAATCAATTTAATTATCTTTCTTGAAGAATAATTGTTCTTGGGCCTTTTTGTTTTGTTGTCTTGCCATTTTCTCAGAGTAAGTAATGTTTTCTCCTGGGGCCTGCTGCTCCTTTAGGGATGGCCCATGACCTCATCCTACAAGTGTTGAGTGGCTTTTACATTCTATTAGAGTCCTAGGACCTTGACTTGCATTAAAAGTCAAAATCCCAAGCTAGAGAAATAGAGAAGCTGGTGAAGGGCTTGCCACACAAGCTCAAGGGATTCCATCCCAGTGTCAACGTAAAATAATTTACGGCAGAGGCAGGCACGTGCAAACCCAGCTCTGGTGAGGGGGACACAGGCAATTGTCAGGGCCTTGCTGATCAGCCAGCCTAGATGTATCAGTGAGGCCCAGGCCAATGAGACACCCTGTCCCAAAAAGCAATATGACTTTGTTTCACATCGCCAAATAACTTCATCTTCCATTAAACTGGAGATAATAATCCCCAGTAAAAGATATTATAGGCAACGCATAATATAAAAGTTCTGTTTACCTCCTCATGCATACACACACATATACACACATACACATGTACACACATACATATGTATATATACATATACATATACATGCACATATATGTATGTGCACACACACATATACACACATGTATATACATACACACATACATATGTATCTACATATGCACAGTATACATGCATGCACACATACACATATGCACACCAATACATGAATACACAAACTTACAGGATTTTCAACATATAACATTTTCCTAAACATAAGACAGTTTTCTCCTTTCTACTTAGGCAGTAGCTGGTCTTAACTTTAAATTGTTCTCCTTGACCAAATATATTCGGGCACAGGGGTCTTTTCTGAGACTGAAAACTCCACCAAGGACCATGTATAAAGATAACCTGGAACCTCTGCTCGGATGTAGCCTGTGGTAGCTCAGTAACCAAAGGGAACAGGGACTATTTCTGACAGGAACTCAATGACTGGCTCTTTGGCCTCCCCACCCCCCAAGGGAGGAGCAGCCCTGCTAGGCCACAGAGGAGGACTTTGCAGCCAGTCCTGAAGATACCTGATAAAACAGGGTCAGATGAAAGGGGAGGAGGTCCCCCCTATCAGTGGACTTGGAAAGGGGCAGGGAGGATATGAGGGAGGGAGGGAGGGTTTGGGAGGGAGTGAGGGAGCAGGATACAGCTGGGATACAGAGTTAATAAAATGTAACTAATAATAAAAATAAATTAAAAAAAAAGAAAAAGAAAAAAAATTGTTCTCCTTGCTATTTTATTTTAAATCTTAATGTGATTGAGCTAGTAGTTAGTCTCCTGCTATATCTTTAAGAGCAAGTAGAGGTGTTTTCCTGTGGCTCTGGGATCCCCAAGTTGCATAGTAGTAACAATTCCCCCAAATGTTCTTAACAGTCACCTTGAAGTCAGGTTGACGTTGATCCAAATCCAATTTTATAGGGTTTCCTTTTTTTCCCTTTTTTTTTTTTAAGGATTTCTAACAATATTAACAGCTACCTACATCACTCAGTTCGCTTTCTTTTCTGTTAAACTGGAAATAATAATCCCCAGTCAAAGATTTGGTAGGGGTTAAAAGAGGCAACCTGTAATATAAGAGTCCATAGTCCAGTGTCTGCCTTCACAGGTGAAGGCTTCCCTATGTTCACGGAGCCTAGGTCCTTTGAATACGCTCATGGATATTGCTGGGACTTCTGGAAATTATTCCCCTCTTCACACTGCTTGCTCATCCCAGCCTCTGACCTCTGGTGGCTTTGTCTTGGACCTGCCTTTCACTTCTTGTCACCTCTGGCATAGAAGCACTCCATAAACAGCCATTACTATCATTTTAGAATGTTCAATAGTTTGAATAAAGTATTTATCGCTCACAATTAGCATCCTTTGTACAGAGTATAGGGTTTTGCTATGAT